TTTTTTTTTTTTTTTTTTTTTGAGACAGAGCCTCAAGCTGTCCCCCTGGGTAGAGTGCTGTGGCATCACAGCTCACAGCAACCTCCAACTTCGGGCTCAAGCAAGTCTCCTGCCTCAGCCTCCCAAGTAGCTGGGACCACAGGCGTCCGCCACAACGCCTGGCTGTTTTTTAGTTGCAGCCGTCATTGTTGTTTTGTCCGGCCCGGGCTTAGGTGTATGTGGCTGGCACCTTAGGCACTTGAGCCATAGGCGCTGAGATTCTTACTGTAATGATTTGAAAAACCAAACCTGGCAGAAGGCATTTTTTTTAAAAAATGTGTGCAGAACAAATTTTGAACATCCTTAGATTTTGCTAAATTTCTTTGGAGAATATAAGTGTCTTGATGACAGGAAACAAAGCAGGCTTATGCTTTTTTTCATACTTTATAGTCAAACACTTGATGGTAGATACTGATTAAGGGCATGAAAACGAATTTTTTTGTTTATTTAGAGCAGCAGTTCTCAACCTGTGGGTTGCAACCCATGGGAACTGTTTTAAAGGGTTGTGGCATTAGGAAGGTTGAGAACCACTGATTTAGAGACTTTCCCAGGAATTCCCAAGTTTTCTCAACTTTACATTTGCTTGAATGTCTAACTTTTCCTTTTTTATTTTTGAGACAGAGTCTCAGTCTCCCAAGTAGCTGGGACTACAGGCTCCTGCCACAATACCCAGCTTTTTTTTTTTTTTTTAACAATAGTAAATATTAAATGCCATTATATCTTTTTTTTAATTTATTTTTATTTTATTTATATATTTTTGAGTCAGAGTCTCTGTCGCCCTTGGTAGAGTGCCATGGCGTCACAGCTCACAGCAACCTCCAACTCTTGGGCTTAAGTGATTCTCTTGCCTTAGCCTCCTGAGTAGCTGGGACTACAGGCACCCACTACAACACCCAGCTATTTTTTGTTGCAGTTAGCACTGCCGTTTTAGCTGACCAGGGCCAGGTTCAAACCCGCCACCCTAGGTATATGGGGCCAGCGCCCTACCCACTGAGCCACAGGGGCCTCCCACCCAGCTGTATTTGAGAGATGGGGTCTCATTCTGGCCTAGGCTGGTCACAAACCTCTGAGCTCAGGTAATCCATCCATCTTGGCCTCCCAGAGTGCTAGGATTACAGGTATGAGCCACCTTGCCCAGCCTTCACTTTTCCCTTACATAAAAATGGAATATGTCAGGCGGTGCCTGTGGGTCAGTGAGTAGGGCGATGGCCCTATATATCCAAGGAGGTGGGTTCAAACCTGACTCCAGCCAAACTGCAACAACAAAAAAATAGCCAGGCTTTGTGGTGGGCTCCTATAGTCCCAACTACTTGGCAGGCTAAGGCAGGAAAATCACCTAAGCCCAAAAGCTAGAGGTTGCTCTGAGCTGTGATGCCATGGTACTCTACCGAGGGCAACAAAACAAGGCTCTTAAAAAAAAAAAAATAGAATGTATTTGTTTACTCCCCTTTTGCAGAACACAGGGAAATAAATTTTATCAATAGTGACTTATGAATTACTGTTTGGAAAATAAAAGTAAACAGAGGCACAAAATGGTGGTCTGTCTTCTCTGTAGCAGAGGAAAGGAAAAGAGCTCAGGTTTAAGCGACTAGAATCATTCCTGCATGATTCCTGGCGACAGCAGCGTGACACAGTGCGTCTCAGACGACTAGAAGTGAAACCTCATGCTTTGGAATTACCGGATAAACATTCCTTGGCCTTTGTTGTACGCATACAAAGGTAGGCATCCAGCTAGTGTCTATCTCGTTCATGAGGCTGGGACAAAATGTTGGTTCAGCTTTAGACCCTTGTCTAGGAGGATGAAATAGCAGTCCTTAAGCCACTAATGCAAGTTGTGGTGGGAATTTGGGGTTGAACACAGCATAGTTTTGTCTTCAAGGTTGGGGAGACTGACCCCTTAGATAGACTTGCAAATAAGTGCTGTGAAGATAAAGTGGGGTTGGGGGGACATTGTGTGGACACCTTCTAAAGTAGGAACTTTAGTGTTGGGAGAGGGCTTTCTAGACATACATGCTGAAGTCCTAAAGTGGGGCAGAGGCATCTTCCTAGGAACTGAAACAAGGTCAAGTGGATGAAGCATATTAAGTGCAGGGGAGACATTTTTCCACATTTATTTTTTTTACCCATCCTAACCAGTCACCCAAACCAGAAACATGTGACTCTTAAATGTTTATGAGCTCTGTCCTCTTTAGCCTTTCTACCACTGCCTGTATTTTTTTTTTCTTAGACTGTTAAATTGGCTTTCTGACTGGATTTTCCTGCCTTTGGTGTCACATTCTGAAATCTGTCCTATACAGTGCCCTTGGTGATTGTCAGAAAGAAAGCTGATCATGGCTCTTTTACTTGAAATCATCAGTAGCTTTTTTCTTTTTCTTTTTTTTTTGTTTTGAGATAGTAGTGTCACTCTCTTGCTCCAGGCTAGGGTGCCATGGTGTTCAGCCTAGCTCATAGCAACTTACAACCTCAAACTTCTGGGCTTAAGTGATCCTCTTGCCTCACCCTCCCAAGTAACTGAGACTACAGGCACCTGCCACAACACCTGGCTAATTTTTCTCGGTTTTTTTGTTTTTTAGTTGAGACTGGGTTTCATTCTCATTTAGCCTGGTCTTGAACTCTTGAGGTAAAGTCATCATCCTGCCTTGGCCTCCCAGAGTACTAGAATTACAACTGTGAGCCACCATGCCTAACCCTCATCAGTGCTGTTTACGGCTCACAGAAGCAACTCCACGTTACTTTAGTCAGCAGGACACACATAGTTCTACATACATTCTTCTTCTCTCCCCCTCCAAACAAAATAACTTTCCAGGCATTGCTCTACATCATGAAATCATCTGGTTATATAACTGCCTCCTGCTAAGATGATCTCTTTAAGGCATAGTCTGTATCTTACCTTCTGGATACCGAGTGTAGTGGCAACACATTTTGTGCTTGCTAGACTCATAAACTGAGGCGCTGACTTGCTATTCATTTCAGGATTGATGGAGTGAGTTTACTGGTGCAGAAGACCATTACAAGACTTCGCCTAAAGAAAATTTTCAGTGGTGTCTTTGTTAGAGTTACCCCTCAGAGTCTGAAAATGCTACGTATAGTGGAACCTTATGTGACCTGGGGGTAAGGTTTTCTGTGTTAATTCACATTAGACTATTTTGAATTGTGTCAGGGTGCACAGGGTATTATACTCCAAGGCTCATGTTGCTGTGGCCACATCACCAAGAAATCATCTGGTCCTAAGAACCTTAGGACATGGGGTAGGCAAAGGGGGAGGGTAGGTAATGATCTGAACAGTACTATAATGCTAGTTCAGTTGTAGACTAAGGCTGAGTAAGATGGGTCAAAGATAGATTAATTCCTGGAATCTTGAAGTAGAGCTGGGGGCATTGCTTACGTAACAGTAATTCCTCAAATACTAAAGCCTAACAGAGACTTAGACTTAAAATCCAACTCTTGCACTATCTTGTGTAGAGGGTTCCTGAAGGACAGAGTCCTAGACTCTAAGCCAGGATGTAGGTTTTACTCGTTTTGTGGGTTTTTTTAACCTGGGAAACAGATTTTTTTGCCTGATGAATGTTT